CATGTTTTGTATGACTATTATATTCTGTTCTGTATATTCCGATCTCAAACTTGCTTTCTGATAGCTTGCCTGCTAAAAGGGTAGAGTTTCATTTTTTTGATGTACAACATTCTGTATTGCCCAGTTCGTTCTATGTTCATTTTCATGTTCGCTGTTGAGGGGGAAGGGAGCTAATAAAATACTACTTCGGAATGATTACAACAAAAATCAGCACATCATGTTTATTGGGATGTGACTTCAAACATAAGGTTAAGACTAAAGGAAATAAGAGGCAGTCAGGTTGCCTTTTTTGCTGAATAGCAGTTTTTGACGGCTCTGTTCGGCTATCCGGCCCCCGATTTTCGTCGTAGATTTTTAGTCGAATCCCGTCTAGAACCTATCTGACCCGCGGATGCCGAATACCATACCAATTTTGCGCGGTAACCATTTCCTCCAAGCTGCGCTGAGTACACGGTAGGTTGCCAAAATTACGAAATTTCACTCGACATGCTGCGCGCGAACATCATACTTTCCATTGCTTTGGGACGTTTTCGCGGAGTTACGGTGCGCTTTCGGTAGGGGGACATAATCTCACATATGGCTAGAATTTGGCATATAGGGATTGTATATATTATGCTGACGTTTATCCTACTCTCCCTGCGTTTTCGGACGTTTTCGCGGAGTGGTACGTATCTGGTAGGGGTCTAAGCCACGCACCTGCCTGAAATCTTGCGCGGGGGAAAGGGGTTATATGACTTGCTGATCACAAATGTCATGCTCATTTCGCGTGATAAACCGTTTACGTGAATTTTTTTGCTTGAATCAGGCCAGAAATGCGAACAATGTCTAATCATACGCTGCAAATTACCGTAAATCCATGATAAGGCATTATTAAAACGAGCAAGCATGGTATTCATGATCGGCACGCTTGAAGACACCTCTAGGCCACTTTTTGAGCAGATATTGGAACTTTAGCATTCTACCGTACACCCACCATAGCCCAAGAAAATGCGGTTATTTTGAGGATTGAGAAATCATGTGTTCATGTTGAGCGTGCCAGATAATTCGCCTAGCAGAGGTTAAGAGTATCCGTGTTATTGCGCTCTTGCCAGATACGTACCGTAAATCTTCGAAGACGTCCCAAAACGAAAGGAGAGTATTAGATGTGATCAGCATGTGCAATAACTCCCCTCCCCTAGGCCAAATTTCAGCGAAATTTGTAGTTTTGACTCCCCACCGTATACCCACTTCCAGAAAATAGCGCTACCTAAATTAGTGTGGTATTCGACATCGGCCTGTCAAATAACCCCTCACGGAATTTGAGCAAAATCAATGACAGAAACATTTTTGGGACCCGGATATAGGCGAATAGGTTTTTGACCGACTGTTTGCGTACAGTCCATATAGCAGGTTGTCGGTAGTGGGGAAATCTGTTTAGTTATAAGCAGTGAGAAAATTTCTAGAGGAAACTCCACGCGGCGTTAGCACGGCATATACCGTGATCTCCATTAAATGCGGCATATTGGTGATATCCTGCGATATGTGGACGCTGCACGTGACCAGACAACGAAGTGCAACAAACAAATGAATTAAGACACAAATATAAGACAGAGAATCTCTTCTAACCACAAGTTACTAATACGACAACGTCGCTCGAAGCTTTTCAAAGTCGACGGCAATGGGAGTGTTGCCAATGGGCAGGACGCATAAGCGCATACGTCCATGTATCTATCTACTAACAAGATAAATGGTTTCATATGATCATGTGTGCGTACACACACATCGTTTATTTCTGGCGTTCTCCTTGCAATTGCAGCCGCTAGTTTGAAGTCAGATATAAGAAAGGAAAAGAAACTGAGAACATGTTGAAAGTACTGAACTCAACGTTTTTCCACAAAGGCATAGGAATGTCAGCATTAGTGTGCTTAATGACACACATTATGATATGTTATGACTCGACTGTAAGTCCGAGGGGACGCTATTCGGCTGTTCGGACCCCAAAACATTCTTGAGGTGGATCTTGCTCAAATTTCGGCCATGACGGTTGTCACGTTATTTCGGCACGAAAACGCCTCCCCGCCTAGTTATATTCAAGGTCACGGATGTGGTTACTTCGGCTACAGGGCCGGGGGAGCGAGGAATTTGGGCGCGTTGGACATGGATATCATCCTGAATTTCAACGCGAGCGCGATTTTTTTGTGTTACGATGGGCGCACGGTTGGCCGCTAAAAATTTCAAAATGATCAATTATCTAGAGGTGCCTTCCAGCATGTTCTTTACGAATATCATACATTTTGTCGCTTTTGGACCTTCTCGGGGAATTACAATAGGTATACGGTACGACATTAAAGAGTTCCTAGTCTAAAACCTAGTGCAGGGGATTACCCACGGGCTGTCACAATCATTGCGCTCATTTTGCATGGTAACTCCTTATGCTGGGTTTTCAAATCTAGGTTGACTTGGAAAGTATGAAAGCTTTTCGAATACCGCTCCAATGTACCATAATCCCACAAAGAGAGGTTATTACAGCGAGCGAACGCGATGAGAGTAAATAGCCTGCTTGAAGGCAATTCGGGCAAAAACTCAATTTTGAGATTTTGTGCTTACCCGGGCCTATTCACTACGCTGAATCCGGAAAAGCACATTGGAGAGCGAGAAAACGGTGAGAAAAGGCTCTCACAGAGAAGGGAAATCAGCAGGTCGGCGATCCTCATCACTGTGAATTCACGCTCCCAGTTTCCGGAGAGGTCTGCTCGATTCCGCCAGACGTCCTAACATCGCTACCGGCCAAGGGCAAGATTGGCTTGAAAGTGACAACCACAAACAGAGGTGGCGGCATCCAACGCCGAACACCGAGAATTGAGTTTTGTGGTTTTGAAAAGAAACAAAGCACCTTGGCAATCAAAGTCATTTCCTGTTCCATAGCTTCATGGATAGTAACACTATCATCTTGTCATCCTCATCATCCGCTATCAGCAAGGACCATACCTCCACCTTCCGTCATAATGCGCGCTAAAATGGCGGGACTTTTGCAAAGTTTTCAGCTCCTTTTCTCACATGAGTCTACGTTCCATAAAAAGTCAAACCCACAGTCAATCTCAATTAGAAAGTTTTTTCCCTATAAATCAGGAAAGGGAAATGATTTCGGTGGTCATTGCGGAAGCAGCAAAAAATGATGGCAAGCATCTGATGTGTTGCAAAATCAATGTTCGAGAACGTGGGGATCGAAGCCAGATGAATCCGCAATAAGATTTAGGTAATCTTATTGCAAGTTGTAAGCGGAGGCAAGGGTATTTACAGAGACGTTACCGGTAAGTAGCTCATAGGTCATTTGTCAGCAATGCTCATTAGCCTAGGTGCAACTGTTGATATTGTGAGGCTCTCGTCTAGGCCTGAGAGATGCGGTTTCGCGATGAAAATAAAGTTCGGTTCAGGTATCCTTCCCGCGTATGGAAAAATATTACCTGTGGTGTTTTACAAGGCTCTTTGTGAGCATGTTAATACTTCTTTTAGTACCAGTAACCGCAGTACGTGTAAAGTACCTTCAAGTCTACTGTCTTTAAACGCGAGATTTTTTAAAGTCTTAAAGCAATTGGGAGGTTCTTTTCGAACAATGGTCGCTACTTAAGGACACATGAATGGCTTCCAGATTCGTACAGAAGTGGGTGGCATGACTTCCCCTGATTTTGGCGGCAGTGGTCCAGGCAAAAACTCGATTTCTAGAAAATCCACTTACCGGGGGTTATCCGCAAGGCTGAATGTGAAAATCCATTTTAGAACGCGCGAAAACGGCGAAAACATAGGCAAGGTTCATACTGGTCCCTAATTTTCGGAATAGTTCCAGCACAGCGCTCAAAATGTACGCTGTGCTGGAACTGTCCAGAACATACAGACCAGTGTGAACCCAGCAATACGTTTTCCAAAGCCGCACATTTTGAAATTCGACGGTCTCCACCAAGGCGGAGACGCAGAGTCGCTGCGGGACCCATATTTTAACTGTGGCGGCATGCGTACTCCGCTGCATATAGCAAGAATTCGGACAGCTCGGAGGTCCCGCCCCAAGGCGTAAGTTTCCCCACTTTCCGGTCGTTCTTCTTGTTTCAGTCGAGCGTTATGACGTCGCACTTGCGCGAAGTTGTGTCTAAGGGGGGGGGGCACTCTCACATGGCACTGAAATCCCAAAACCCCCATCTTGCCCGGACACTGCCTTTAATGGCCAAAACTCGATTTTGAGATTCTATGCTTATCCGGACGTATTCGCTATGCTGGGCTGAATCCGAAAATCCACACTGGAAGGAGCGAAAACGGCAAAAAAGGGCTTTAGCGCAGGAGGGAAACAGCATGGGGGGGCCTTCCCCACCGCGAATCCACGCTCCCAGCTTCCGGAGCGGTCTTCTCGATTCCGCGAGCCGTCCTAACATCGCTACCGGCCAGGTGCGAATGATTGACTTGAAATTGGTAGCGAGAAGATCGCTCCGGAAGCTGGGAGCGTGGATTCACAGTGGGGAGGACCCCGCCTACCTTCTGAGTTCCCTCCTGTGTTAGAGCCGATTTCCGCCGTTTTCGCGCTCTCCAATGTGTTTCGGATTCAGCGTAGCAATAGGCCCGGGTAAGCACAAAATCTCAAAATCTAGTTTTTGCCCGGACACCGCCTTTAAGGATAGAGCATTGTTATTCGACTCTCTTGCCATCAAAAGACTAACTACAACCGAGACCCGTTGATGCAGTACCTGGCCAGGAGGAGATGAAGACACTGGGGCTGGTTACAATCAACCTTTTTTACTTATACAAGAGGCTCGCCCATATGTTGATCATCATCTGCAGAGATAAGCGCAGGGCGTTTTTCCCACATGTAACAATTTCGCAATGGTAAACGTTACTGTGCATGTTTCCCAATTTTGACACTCGCCAATGGTGTCACGCGCGTTTCTTATGCGCAAATGCGTGTTATGAAACAGCAGGTCATTGCTGTCCGTTAGTCCTATGCAAAGATCGTTGCTTCGTGTTTCAGATCAGTATCAATGAGTATGATAGGTGAAGAGCTCACGTACTTTGCTCCCGGCCTTTTCTACCAGTGGTGCGTTTTACGTACATGCTTCAGCAGTAAAGCATGATTTTCTTGCTACGTCTCTTAAAGTACCTCAGATTATTTTAGGATTATAGGCCCAGCTGTACATGTAAGTGTCCACCATATCACTGTTAACGTTCTTGAATTTCTTATACCCGGAAAATTTTTCGTAAGGTAAGTATAAATGCTGTTGTGCAAATGTTGAAAACTATTTGTTCTTTCCACAGATCTAATGACCACCCACAACGCCTGTTCGGCCCATTTCACGCGGAACCCACGGGTGATCTACTGCCTGCTCGTGGAGACTGCTTGGTCTTCCAGGTGAGGGATATGAGATGTTCATATTCAGGTTCATGTGCTGCATTGATGATTACCTGTTCAGAACTTTGGATGGGTTTGCGACTTCTTCTACCTTAATGAATGCGTCCGTCACATAATTAATTAAAGCTGTGCTCCGTATACGAACTTTTCGCTTTCGTATCCACTGCGCCGCGCACAATGAACGGATGTCTTACGCGTCCGATCGGCAGTTTTCTCACAGCTTATGTTATGTTTATGCTTATCAGTAGGCTCATCGGTAGATTCTTGAGCTCATTGGTTTTTGTTTACGTTCTATCGCGTATATAAGTAGAGGATATAAGTTAGCTGCTATGCTTGCCTTTAGTTGCTGCCTTTAGTTTTATGTTCTTTTCATTTATTATTTGTTTCTTGCTTTTTCTCTATTGCTTCACAGCCTCACAGTCCCACAGACCTTATCACAGTGTCACAGACTTTATCACAGTTCCATAGAATCTATCACAGGGTCGCAGAATATTTGTTCATAATAGTATTGGTAGTCATAATCGCTTGTGTATCACCATCGTAGTCGCATTATAGTTGTTAGTGGCTTCTTAGTAATAAGGGGTAATTACCCAAGTTTGAGGTGTCGCAGTCTACTGTGCCCGCAAACCAAGCAAAAGTCCCGCGTGGCAGCAAACATAGAATGCATCAGATTTTGCTGAAACTTGACCTAAGGGGCTTATTTGACATGATGATCACAAAAATGAGATCCGTTTCGCATGAAAAAGCCTCGTTCGTGAGATCAAAAGATGAATTTCATTTTAGCGACAAATGAATATGATATTCGTGTTTATCGCATAGGATTACCCTATAGTGCAAAGTTATAGCGAATTCTGACTTTTCGCAGCTTAGTTATTGACAAATTGCCTTCGAAACTTGACGCATTTGACTTGCTCAACTTCTCAAAGGCGCCCCACCTTAATTTGTGTTTGAATTTCATTTCTTTTTCACTGGTTCCAATGTGCAACTTCCAGCTACATGCTGCCTATAATTGCTTTTTCATATGTTTGAATCAGGTTTCGTAGGGCTTCATGTTTGCCAAAAAATCGTGAAACCTCAATTTTCAGCAGTTTTCAAAAAATGCTTACAAGAAAAGGATACTTGGTGACCGTGGCCTTTTGAAATGTAACGTAAACTATTGGATGCATCTTGAAGCGCTGATTCCAAATCTGTTTTCGGTATCTGCTGTGCGGTTTTCCGAAGGAAGTTATGAACATTTCTTGCCACAAAAATTTGCACTGTTTTTGATGCAGGATTTACCAATATCGTTAGAATATTCGCTTACGCACTACAAAAAAGCGTCAAAATAAAGTAAAGGTTCACGTTAAGCTCAGAAAAACTGTCTTTGATAAATCAGAGTCTATAAAGCCTGTATGCTAACGATTCTGACTGCCTAAATCTCGTAAAATCAATATAGAAAAAAGTCCATAATTTCGTTCACAGAGTCGCACAGCAAATAATGAACATAGGTTTGGAATCAGCGTTTGAAGGCGCATCTATTGGTATACATCTCATTGCAAAAGGCCACGGTCACCAAGTATCCTTCCCTTGTTAGATTTCTTGTACTATGTTATCAAAAATCAAACGGTTTGCGCAGACTTGCAGCTTACATTACGATCTACATGATGCCACAAAATGAGATTGCTACATAAAATAAGAAAAAAGTTGCGGGAAAAGTTGCAAAACTTATGTGCCAACCTAATACAAATTGGTCAGAATTGAGATATCGCAACGTAAGCCATGAACGCGCTCCAATGGTTGGCGTTAACTTGCAATTATGAATTGTAATGGGTCGAATTCTCCCCGTTAACTCGTCAAGTTCACTCTTACAATCAGTTACGATTACGACCGTAACAAACTAACCCTCCGTACTGTTTCTTACCATTGTCTGCTAAATTGCAGAACTCTGTACTCGCGAAGGTTGCGGCTTTGCTGCACGTATCCGTCTCAAACCTGCCTGACGCTGGTATGCCCTAGACTTTTTTTTGTGAAAAAGTGTCTATAAATACTTGGTGATGAAATAACATTTCTCTGCATGATAAGTTTTCGTTGCAAGTGAGCGAGGAAGTGGTTGTTGTTGTTAAGCGGAACGTTGTGATACCTCCGTTGCAATGTTTGCCCGCAAGAGTAAACGTCAGCAAGTATTATTTACCGTAATCGGACATGGTCGTCGCATGTACTTTGATTACAGTTCAATAATTCTATGCATCTTTTGCAAAAAATAAATATTTTGTTATATTTGCCACGAATTTTGAAGAAACATACTTTACGATAGCTTTCTTGCCAGGCGTTTAGAGAGAGGAGATATTATCACTCAAAAGCAGCGGCTCAGCAGATTAGCTAAGTCCAAGGCTCCTTCAAAAAATATCAATAACCCGCTCTTTTAGAAGTGCAAAGTATTATTTGAGCGGACCCGTATGCCTGCGTTCTAGAGTGTGATTGGCTCGCGAGTGGGGTCACCGTACCTATCGTAACTATGAGCCAATCGCGCTCTAGAGGGCAGGCATTTGCCGTGGGATTGCGTCGTGCACAAGAAGAAGGAAGTAAATTTCTATTTCGATAATAAGTTCGTCTCTTGCAAGACAAATAGCATTTTGTTACGAAGGTTTCTCCATGATCGATCTAGTTGCAACTACAATTCCAACGACTACATTAATGTGCAAAAACTTGCTATACCTTCATCTGAATCTAGGGGAAAGCTTATCAACTTCTTGAGCAGCCTGATGGATATTGTTCTCAGACTCCGATAGCTTCGCAAACTCTCACTTTTAGAAGTGTTTGCGTTTCATGCTATTGTCTAGGTTTTAACCAGCGCCGCGCAGTGTGACTTGTTCTTAGAGGTGATATTATAGGAAAGGGTATGACTCCATGTAGAAATGCTTCAAACAAAGCCACTTGAACGCAAAGGATCAGTGACACCAAAGCAAAAAGAAACATTTACGGAATTCTCGCCCTCTACAAGAGTGTTCGTGGGTTCACCCAAAGTCTTGAATAGGATAATAGGGGACTTGTAGCTTCCCTGCGCTTAAATGGCGACATATTCGAGTAATTTGTTACTCGATATGTGAGAATGCATACTATACGCAGTTGCGACGGCATCCTTATTACTAACTTTTCAGTAAAACATTTTCGTTTCTAGTCTATCAAACTGTGGGGTTATGTTTTACTGAATAACATATATAACATATATCCGACAAAAACAAAAGGGGAAAGGAAATGAGGAGAAATGACTGCAAATGAGCAGGTTCTAGTTTTGCGGTTCGTCATTTAGCACACATGGTGTGCAATATGCATATCAAATTACGAATGACTCGACGATACATAGATACATTCAAATACACAAACAATGAGTGATGGAACTATACGTCTCTTTCAATTCAGTGCACAATCCATAGAATTCCACAAAATATTGGTTTCCACAAGTAATCAATGAAATCTTTATGAGTTATGAGAAGGGTAATGGAAAGCGTGGAAGTGTGTGCGAAGTGTGTGATGTTAACCTAGCTTGTTTTTTCAAATAGTCATAGAATTCAAGATTCAGAATGAGGCTTCTTTTGGTTCAAGATAGACGAATGTAATTCAAGAGGTTGATTTTCATTACAAGTTCGATCAGCTACTTCAATCGAAATTTTGCATGCCGTCTAGGGCCTCGGACAGCCGATTTGAACGCCGCGATTTCCAATCATTTTCATTTTACATTCAAAAATTTCGGGATGGAAAAGTATCGTGTCAAATCGCGTGAACTCTGCCCGAGGCCTAATGCGCTACACTACGAATTAGCAAAAGCCTTCAACAAGCTACAAATTGGTTCCGAATAACGAAGAGCAGGTTTAGAAACCTACATGAATGCTACGAATTTACCAGCAAGCGGTGAATCAACAACGTACTTTATCGTATTTCATGCATGGGCTATAAATCGCAAATACTAACAAATAGAATTTGCGGTGGATGGCTGGGATGCGGATAGTGTGGGCTAAAAGGGTTCTTGAATAGACAGCATGTCTGTTGTAACGTTAACAAAGCGCATTTAAGACTGGGATGGCTGAGCATTGATCACATAAAAACTTTTTGTATAAAAGGTTATGAACTGAGTCAACCGTTCATAGTCTGAGTCAGAGTATCAGTCCGACCGGTTGCGAAGATGCGATTTGAAAGAAGTTTCGAGCGTTCGTGATTATGTTGTCTAAGGTCGAACAATCTAGTGATTTGAAATGCCCCCTTCTATGAGTGCCACCACAGAGAAATATGTATCAAAGACGTACTGAAATGAATTCGAATTAGGAGAGTGAAGTTTTGACAAACTACAACGACAGGGCCTCATAGGCGCAGAGAAATAGCCCATGACTAAATTGAGCGAGATAACAGCAAAGCATGTGTCTGTCCCATCATCCCCACATAAATAAATGAATAATGCGAACATTAGCAGATTTAAGTGGACTATTCGCACTTTACTATACAAAAACGCTTTTATGACAAAGAAAGCTATCAAACACAACGAGATAAGCTAATATTGCAAATTTCTGTCCAAAAATGACAACGTTTGAGCTCCTGAAGAGTCACGAGAATAGTGGGAAGAAGTTCATTGAAACAGGATAAGATGTGCTGTAATTCGAATTTTTCCGGAAATTTTGAGAAGTGAGGTCCGGAGAGAACGTACACTTTTTTGGCGTAGCATGTACAAATGAAGCCTGCCTTCACGTAAGAATTTGGTATATCGAATCGTATAGAATTCTCCAAGGCCTCTTTGCGCCGGACACGATCAAAAACTAATATTCAAGAACGGCCTCTTCGACACGTTCATCTACTATAGATGGTAACAGTTCCATCTTTGCCAAACTTCTGCTCATGCGGGTTACCCTAACCGACAAACACTGATAGAAATTTATGATTTCGCAGCTTTCTTTTCCATCCTAATATTCATGATTCTGAAAAAAGTCCTGCCTAAAGTATGACGTAAACTCAGTTATTTCATCTGAGTTTACGGAAGGATTTGTCATCCGGACGTAGTTGATTGACTATACAGAATAAATTGTTAAACAAAGGATATAGTCCAATTCTGATGGGTACGAATGCTTCCAAGAAACATTTTGCCTTACCTGCGCCTTC